CGGGGGCCGCCGGCGCCGCCGGGCAGGGCTGAGCCGGGGCGGGGAACAAAGGCGCGCGGGGAGCCTGGCCGCCGATGTCCGTGCGCCCGGGAAGTCCGCCCCTGAGCGGGCCTGGGTAGAGACGCTGCAACTTTCGCCTCCCACTATGAGATCCAAACATTTTTTTTTTAACCGAGCCGCTCGCTTGCTGGCTAAAGCGGCAGGGGGCCGCAGCCAGAATATCCAGGACTCTGCGACAGAAGCTTTGGACTGCACTCGCCCCGCTTCCGCCCGGTGGGAGGGAGGCGCGCGCGGCTGGCCCCGGGCCTCGCACCCTCGGGAGCCCTCACCGCGGCCGGCGGGCGGGAGAGGCGGGCGGGCTGCGCTCTCCCGGCCCTGGACCCTCGCCTGAAACGCAGCAAGACCTGGAAGAGAGCTCACCGGGGGACAGCGCATCCCGTCTTGGCCAAGCTGACTTCCTCAGGGTAGACCCGGAGATGAGCATCGGGCTTCCAGCTCTAAAATTCCACCCATTTGTACTACTTTCAGCATACGAAGATTTACAACTTATTTTTCTGTCTGATAAACAGTATATAAATTTACCATTTTAACCACGTTAACAGTACAGTTCTATATCACCAAGTACATTCACATAGTGGTGTGGTTGTTTTTCAGTCATTCGTTAAAGTGTCAAAAAATGTAAGTGTAGTAAGATGTGCCCTGATATTAGGTAAACTGCTACTGGAAATTAAGGCACTCACCCACCACCTAATACCACCAACCACAAATCAGCAGCGACTTCCTAAGGATGATCAGTGTTCAGCGAACATACACACAGCTAATGCACACCAGCCGTTTTTTTCCATGGGGCAAATAACCCAATCATCTAAGTTGTTTCTCCAACACTGTGTACGTATAGTTTACGTGACAATTTTAAAAAGCGACATTGTTTTTAAAGTAAATGTGGCCGAAATCCACTGTCTAGTCCTTTTTCTATATGGCCTTGGCCAGTTATAGAATTTCACAATCCGCGCTCAGATCGCTACTGGGCCTTGGCTTAACTTTCTAACCTGGCCTTCCATGGCCTCCTCCCTTTTATTCAATGCAGCTTAGTTTATTGCCCCTGTGATTTAACTCAAGTGCGCTTCTTGAGTATAAAATGCTACTCCATGTCTCTCCGAGTCAGGCCTGTCCTCCACGGCATCTTCCTTGGGCTTCTCTGCACACCTTGATGACTCACAATGTTTGTTGCCTCACATAATTACTTAAGAGCTACTTCATCTGCCCTAGAAACTCCCTGAGAACAGGGAGGATACACGTCTTGGAGTTTTCACATTTCATATTTCATGGTTGTATGCAGTTTTGTAAGTCAGGATAAAAATCCTAAAAATTAGCCGACCCTGCCCTCTAGCTCTGCATATACATGTACAGTTCCTGTTCTCTGCCCAGGTCTTAAACTCTTCTCATACAGGGAAGGCATTTCCTTATCTGCCTCAAGAAAGGAGGAGGCAACTCCCACATGTTTATTTAATACACATTTTGAATTCATGGCAGTGACAACAGTCTTATGTCACAGCTTTTGATGTGGAATAGCGGGAGTTTATGAGTTTTAGCTCCTGAATAGCTGAAATAAAAAGAAAGAGGCTACAAACAGTACATCCATCACATTTGCTGGAAAACAACAAAATTCAATAGCTTAGGGCCATGGAAGTTTGTTTCTTGCTTGTATGGCACCCTCCTAGTCAGCTGAGGTTCTGCTCCATGGGTCTTCTCCTTCCAGGACCCTGGCTGAAAAAGTACTTGAGACTTGAACAGCTCTCATAGCAGATGAGACGATCCAAAGGGCTGAAGGCATCTCCGCAGAATCTTAAACCTGCTTCTCCAATGTGTCATGACACATCCACTCAAATGCCATTGGTCAGAGTCTTCTGTATGGCTAAACCTCAAGGCAGTGAAGTCTACTTCACAGGCAAACAGCATGGCAATGAGCATGGATTATCTTGGGAGGGAAGGGGTGAGGTTGCATGGTTAATTATAAATAATAATGCAGTCTTCCACTAATGTGGGGCAACCAATGTCCTCAACCTAGAGGTAAGTATAAGCCCCCAAGGAAGGCCTTGTACCACCCCCCCACACACACACACAATTCCTGGGATTAGTTTGAAAGAAGATGTAAAGGTAGAAATAGTGGAGCTCCTGGAAGTATTTTGAAGATCTCAAGGTAGAGAGTATCTATGCTGTAGTCTCAGTGGGGATTTAAAAAGCAACTCAGGTCCAGGGGGTTCCTCTCAATAAGCCAAAAGAAAGCAACATGCTAGCATAGACTGGGCAAGAAGAGCCAGAGGAACACCTCCAAACTTGTTCTGTTTTAAGTGCTGTATTCATAGTCTTTTAAACCTTTCAAAGAAGTTTTGGGAGGGCCGTGGCGGGTTGAAGAGCCCACAGGTCAGAAGCAGGAAGGACAGAGCTGAATGCCCAGATCAAGGATCCAAAGCAAAGAAAAAGGAGACACCAATTTTTGAGGTCAAAATCAATGGACATTTGCATGTGACAACCAGATACTTACTTCCCCTTGCTACCCACCTCCCCACTTCACCCTACCTCCTCTCCCTCCCCCCACAAATTCCCCTCAGAAAGATAGGGAGACCAGTCATTCTGAAATGATTTCAGTTGAACCAGAAATGATGTGGGGACAGAAGAGATTTGTGGGTAACATAAATGTGTGGGCATAGGGAATTGGCTAAATTAAGTTCTTCTCTCCTTAGGAAAAATAGTCTCATCATTTGAGGCTAATTTCAGCTATTTTTTAAAGAAATGTTTTGCACACTTGGAATTTATGACAGGTTTATATAGCACATATACTTGTATGGCCATAGCTGTTTGAATAAATGTATGTGTGAGCAATTTGTCTCCATTATTCTATAATAGGGATGACAGTGCCTATAATAACACTTTACAGGAAAACTGTCATATGGAAAATTCTCATATTAAAACAAGGATAATTATTTTTTTCATTATGCTCAACCCCACACTGAGAAAAATCTACATTTGATGTTGATTAATGTATCAAGAAATGTCATGGCTTGAGACTGTAGGGATTCTAAGTCAAGAGTCTTCATACCGTTCCCAGAATCAGAAGAGAAACACTCACCAGTCTTCAAGGACTGATGTGATTTACTAGGCCATGTTCCTGTCTTATACGGGAACTTGCATCATCTTCTGAGAATCCATGTCCCTTTACTTTCAGACTTAGGATATGGCACATAACGTCTTTGAGATCTACTTTTTTCTGTAAACTACCAGAGAAAGACTCCAAAGTTCTTTGTCTCTGTTTGTCAACACAATCCTTCCTTTACAGTCAGAGCAACACAATACAATAAAGGTTTCAAATGAAGAAAAATACCCCACCAAACATTTTAATAACATTTTAACATTTTTAACCTAAAAATAAAATATGGAGGAATGATGAGAAAAGCAGTGGCATCATTTTTAAACCTCTATTAATTCCTCTAGTTTAAAAGGGAGTCCTCCCCACAGTTTTACACGTGATTGACTAGACCTCATTTATTAATTTTTTGCCTTTGCTACTCTGTTCACTAAAAACATTTCATGTTAAAATATTTTTGTTTGTGGGGCTGGGGATTTAGCTCAGCGGCAAAAGCACCTGCCTGGCAAGCACAAGGTCGTGAGTTCGGTTCCCGGTACTGGAGAAAAAAAAAAAAAAAAAAATTTGTTTGTGCTTTATAAGGATCAGTAGGGTAAATATATTAATTATATGCATATATGTAACATGTAATGGTCAGATCAGAATAATTAGCATTTCTATCTCTTCAGATATTTACCATATCTTTATATTAGGAAACTCAAATTCTTCTTTCCAATTTTTTTTTTCTTTTTTTTTTTTTTTTTGGTTTTTTGGTTTTTCTCCGGTACTGGGAACCGAACTCACGACCTTGCACTTGCCAGGCAGGCACTTTGCCGCTGAGCTAAATCCCCAGCTTCTTCTTTCCGATTTTTTATAAAACATATGGTAAACTGTTGTAACCTATAGTCACTTGCCTGTACTGTAGAATGGTAGAACTCATTGCTCCTATGAAGATCTGTTTTAGGACCTGTTATCCAATCTCCCTCTATTCCCCTTCCTCCTACCCTTATTAATTCCTGGTTACCAGTTTTCTACTCTCTACTTCTATGAAATTGGAAGCTGCTGAAAGACAAGTC